GGGCCGGGGGCCAGCATCCTCCCCCGCCAGCTGCGGAGGCCGAAGGAGAGAGGGGACAGGACTGGGGGGGTCAGCGCCTCAAGGTGAGGGCATCTCTCCCGCCGGCGGACGAGCGGGAGCCGCGGCGGCGGTGCCGCTCTCCGAGGGGCTGGGGAGGGTGCGGGAGCTTTGGCACCCGGCGCCAAAAGGCGAGCCGCGGCCGCCCTGTCAAGGGGAGCACAGAAAATGGCGAGGGGAGGGAGCGAGGCTGGTGCCGTCTGGGACCCAGGGGAGAGCTGAGGATAGAAGTGGAGCAGGGAGGCAGGGCACGTGTCTGGGAGCAGCACCAGGAGCACGAAAACTGATGGACGCCGTCTCTGGCGCTGAGGTTCAGCGTGACTGCGGTGTCTGTGTGTGTATCTGCCCACAACTGGTTACACAAACGTGGTATTTACGGGGCCAGGCGGGGAGTCTTCTGTGGCTGCCAGCTGTTTGCCAGTAGAGACCAGTCTCTCCTATTTTAGCCCGTGCCTTTGGATGGAGCTGCTATTTCAACCGAGGGAAAAATACACAAACATGCCTGACATTGGAAAAGCGCTGGGAGAAACACTACTCAGTGGTGGAACTGCAAACCGCCCCTCTCTCAGTATCCATTTGTAACAAAAATGCATCTGTCTATGCTCTTTTATTAAAACGTCTTTAAAAACTGTGGCTGCTCACAGTTGCCCTTATCTCCTCCTTCTCTTTTCCCCCGCTCAGCAACTGCAATTCAACAGCACCAGCATTCACCACATCCTGTAAATCAGTCAAGGTTTCTTTCATAAATAATATATTGCAGAGAAGGCCCAAAGGGGCAAAGTGCTAATTGCCAGCCCTGCAAACTGTGCAGCATCCTGTATGTTTCTGGTGTGGGTCTGCAAAGTGCCAAGTATGTTAGATGCTCTAAAGGCATCACCTGGAAGAACCGTGAGCTTTCCCCATCCATGTTTGGAGAGACAAGCACATTCACTACATTCCAGAGGGGTAAGTTGTGTGTGTTTAGGTGTCTCAGAGACCCATTTTTTAAAAGCAAGCCCATAAATGCTTAAATCACTCCTGAAAAAATGATCCATAGGCTCCTAAGTAAAGTACACTAAGAATTTTTTGGCAAGATTAAGATTTCTAATTGCAAAGAAAAAAAATGAACCCAAACTCCTCCAAACCACACAAGCCCCAAACTGCTCATAAAAAATTGCTTTTTGAGTTGCCCATTTCCGTATAACTTTGATTTTATTTTCAACATTGTCAAGACCTCTCTGTTGCAGTGAAATTTAAATTAAAACCCCTCTATTTTTACACTGAAATGCCTTTTACTTAGAAACACAAGCTACTTCATATTTTCCTATGCACTGAGAAAAATCAGAATGAGATCACTGAAAATTAGGCTCATGAAACAAAATGCTCAAATCAAAAATACATTTTGAAACTCAGCTCAAGATTGCCTTTTTACATTCTCATTGTCCTAATTGAAAAAGTCAAGTCAGTAATTTATAGCACTGGAAAAATTCCCTGAGGATGAGAAAATAATTTCCTGTTCTAGCCACCAGATCCCAAGGATGCTTTGGGAATATTACAGGACAGCTCTACTCAGGAGGAAAATGGCCTATCAGACCCAGCAAGATCACGCATCCAATCCTAGTCACTTCTTACATTTGCAGGTACCACACGATGCCGTTTTACTGCAGCAGGAGATTTATCCCAGTCTTTCCAGAGGGGCTGTCACATTAGCAGTGTGATGGAGGGTTTACTCCCAAATCTGATCTTTTAAATGTTTACAGTCGTCCTGCTTGTAAGAGGGTTGGGACTCCTTCCAGCTTTCTAATCCTTCTTGCTCAGTTATTTCACAAACACAGCCTGGAAGTAGTCTGTAATCAACCCGCACTTTAACCCTCCTGCCTCAAATGCGAGTATTCCCATCAGCACTTGGGGAACTACTCATGTAATTAACGATAAGCACATGTCTAAAAGTTTCCAGGCTAGTGCTTTAGAAGACAGGCAATGTAGCTTTGACAGATGGGAAAGGAGGAGACAATCTGATAGAAACCAGAAAAATACATATATACACACACACATATATACATATATATATGTCTATATAACTATTGCCTACCTATGCATTTGTTATTTTTGTATGCGTTTCTGGGTTGGTTTGTAATTCAAGGGTCAAATTTTCAAATGTCCGAAGGGCAGTGAGAATTTGGCCTTCCTTTGATATTTTTTTCTTCTTAGAAATTTCCTTTTCTAGCTGTATAAAGTTGGCTTACTGAAGCTTTTCAGCACAGCATAAGAGAGCGATTTCTTAAAAGATGCATGGTGCCCCTTGATGTTATGCTTGCTGGTCAGCAGTAGGTCTACAGTTGGTTTTGCTATGCAAGCACAGCTGGCTTTTGAGCACTGCGGTAACTAGTAAAGGTTATTTTCCAGCTGTAATCTTTCTCGCAGTGAACTCACTTTGAATCTGTCCAAACTGAAGACCAAAATCAGATCTCACGGCAGTACCAGTCCAGTATAAACCAGTTAAAACACTGGATTTATAGAAGGGGAAGCCTGATAAGCTCTGTTCCTCACAGATTACTGATGCCGTGCTCATTCTGGCATGAATAAGCCTACAGTTTGGGCCAGATCATATGTGATAAATGAAACAGGACTGGTGTGATGGCTTTGGAGGAAAACCCAGCAGAACAAGACTATCATTATGCCTTGTTTCATAATACATGGTGCACGTACGTGTGTGTGT